CCATCATGGACTTCCTCTTTATGTGATTTGATATTTACTGTTGTCTCCAAGCCATCAATAAATTATTATAATTTTACTTTATATTTTTTTAGTGTTTCCTAGCTTCTTTTTTTGTTTTGTTTTGATACGCCCAAATAGGCTGCTCATGTGCGCTAGTTTGATTATTGGTGCCTTTGAAGCTCTAATGTGCTGTCACCAGGTAGATAGGTTGGTAACTAAGTATGTGTGCACAGGAGTTGGTTAAATTTTCCTGTATGGATTAAGCTCAGGTGTCCAGGCAGTCGGTCACCAAGTGTGTGGTGCAGGCTGTCACCTACAGTCTTAGAGAGGCATGGGTGATTGTTGTAGGCACAGGTATCTGGCTGCAGTAGGGGATCATGTGCTGAGCAAGGCAAGGGGCTGATGGCTGCCCCTGAATGTCTGAAAGGAAAGCATGTCTCTGTTCCCTAGAGCAAGTAGGTAGGTGAGTTTTGCAGCTGGACTATGAGCACCCTACTCTGTTGGCTGTAAGGACTGGGGAGCACCACTTATTCTTGGACCCCTGTAGCATGTGGCTAGGTGGTGTGGGTGGAGCTACCAGTCCTCAAGCCCCTGATGTGGATAGGTAAGACACTTGCTTAAAGGGCAGAGCAAATCTACCACTTCCCAGCTGAAACAGTTGAAGTTAGACTTCAGGCGTTTACCTTATTTTACTGTGGTAGTTAGGGCTTATGCTCTTGAGATGAGTCCACACAAGTCTATTCAGGGGTGGAAGGCACTCAAAGTCTGTGGACCCCTTATGCCTATTCCTAGGCAAAGGAGTTGTGCCAACCCTGAGTTTCTGGCATAGGGGAGCCCGTAGCTTATTTTTTCCCGTTTGTTAATCTGTACCCCCTCCAAGGCCAGGAGAATGGGTTGGAATGCCTTGTGGGGTCCACTTCTGGCCCAGGGGACTCATATAAATTGCTGAAGCCAGCCAGACCTGGTGCAGAGCAAGGAGGGAGGTGGTAAGTGGGAGACAGGTATTTCCCAAATGTTTTTTTTTTTTTTTTAAATCCCTGCAAAAGGCCACGCACATGCACTTATCTTTAGCCACTAGGGTGCTGCTTTTCACTGGTTCGGAGCGTCCCAACAGAATCTCTGCTGCCGGATCTCTCTCGATGTGGAAAGTGCCTCCTGAGCGAGCACGCGGAGCTGTGTGCTTGCCTCACTGCGCACCCTGAGCCAGTCCGGGCTGAAGGGCTGTGACTCCTGCCGGGTCAGGTCAGGCAGTTCCTTACTGCTTCTGAACTGTCTCTCTCCCTGTCACTCTGTCTGATTCCTCAAATTTGCCTTGTTCAGGGCTCCTAGATATTTATATATAATCAAATCACTTGTTTTTTCAGGTCTTTTTTTGTAAGAGGGACGTAGGAAGCATTCTGACTACTCCGCCTTCTTGGCCCCGCCTCATCTCTGTAAATTTTTACATTTGTATGTAATTACCACATGTAGTTCAAGATATAGAACATTACTATCTCCCTAGAATATTCCCTCCTGTCCCTTTCCAGTCACTAGTCACCCCCTAAGTAACCGCTACTATGACTTCTACCACCATCTGTTAGTTTTGCTTATCTTTGAACTTCACATAAATGGAATTATACAGTATATATTTGGGGGAGCTGGTATCTGGCTTCTTTAATACAAAATGTCTGTGAGATGTGTCTATTTTGTGGCATGTATCAGTAGTTCATCCTTTTCTATTACTTTTGTAGCACTCCGTTCTGTGAATGTACCACAATGTATTTGTCCATTTTCCTTTGGACAGTATTTGGGTTTTTTGCAGTGTTTGGTAATTTTGAATAAAAGCTGCTATGACAGCTGTTATTTAACTAATATTTGACATTGTTTTGCAGTTGCTAAGCAATACCTGTTCATTGATTCTCAGTTGCTTTTCCAAGTTTCTTAAATTATTTTAGTAATGAGGTTTTTTTTTCTCTCCATGAAGGCTTATATCCACCCTAGTAGCTGTTATTCTGGCAGTTTGAAGAGGCCTGATTAATTGGGACGGGGAGGGAGTTGTGGCTGTGTTTAAAGTTGGAGATGTTAATGAAGTAACATGAGTGAATAAAGAAACAGATTCTTGTCTATTCAGATAGCATGAAGCAGAAATTTAGTTTTAAAGCTTTGGATCAAACCTCGTTGAATCGTAGTTGACTAGGCATTGCTTATCCCATAGTAGATTTTCAAGAAATATATGTTAAATAAATACATAAAGTTATCTCAGAGACTGAATCAGCATGTCTTTAGCTTGATAGGACAAGAATTATCAGTAGGTGAAGAAGATAATAGTAATTAATTGGGGACGCATGATGAAAACATTGGGATGCAATTTGAGAGTTCATGTATTTGATAATTTTGTTTTTGGTTTAGGCTAAACTACATTTTTCCTGCCTTAGCTTCTCTATCTGAAAATATTCCCTATGCTATTAAAAAAATATTTCTCCAAAATAAGTGTTTATCTTGATTCTATAGGTCACTGATTCTGAAAATTAAATATAGGTCATAGTCACTTGGAGGATTTGTTTAAACACAGATTACCTGGCCCCACCTGCAGAGTCTGATTTCAGTAGGTTTGGGGTTGCCTGAGAATTTGCATTTCTGACAAGTTTGGGTGATGCTGATAACTGCTGTTCTGAGGACCGCACTCTGAGAATCACTGCTGAAGGTCATTTTGATTTCTCCTCCCTGAATATTGCCCATAAGTTATTGGCAAAACTGTTGTCTTCTAGATTGGATAGAGACCTTTTCTAGCTCTTAGAAGGGAAACTTATAAAATTAGAACTTTACAAAACAAAAATGGCATTGTGTCTAATCCACATGACCTTTATACTTGAACTCAAGCCTCATTCTTTCATTTAGTCTTTTTTTTTTTTTTTTTTTTGTTCAAGAATCATTTATTAGACTTCAAAGACCAGTAGAAAAGCATTGAGAAATTTTTAGTCCATTGAAGTTTATAATTCCTGGGAATATACTTCCTTTTAAAAGGAAAAAAAAAACCCCTATCTCAGTAATTCTAATGGATCAAGAAAGTAACATCTAAAATTATTTTAGCTAGAAAGGATGCCTTTTAGTTGAGTGTTGCTATAATTAACAGTCTTTGAATATTTCCCCCTTAAGGTTTGGGCAAGAATTAAAAGTTTAAAAGGTACAGTTTACTTTTTCAAGTAAGATATATATTACACTGTAAAAACTCATCCAAGATGGGCTGTCAGTAGTGACTCCAGTAGTAACCCTGGTCCACCTGGGGACCAGATGAGCACCATTCAGATAGGCATGGTTGTTTGGCATCCCTGGTTTGATCATAACTAAATTAATTTTTATATTGCCTAATTAAAATTGTTTCTATTTTATAATGGCGCCAGGTAGCGAAAAAGAAGTTGGATGGGATTGAGGAGAGTACCTTTTTTTTTTTTTCTGGGCAAAATCTTAACTGATGTTAAGAGATTTGTAGAAATATTACTGATACGTGTGGATGCAGTGTTTGGGTGGGATTATCTGTAAACTATAGCACTTAGGAAAGAGCTATGATGACTTGATTGAGTCTTGTTTATTTGCAGGGTGGAGTGGTTCTACCAAAGGTAGTTGACTTCATACTTCCTGTGGTTTTATTGGTACTGTTTGAGCCCTGGTGGTGCAGTGGTTAAGAGCTACAGTGAGCTACAGCTGCTAACCAAAAGGTTGGCAGTTGAATGCACCAGCCGCTCCTTGGAAACTCTATGGGGCAGTTCTACTCTCTCGTGTAGGGTCGCTATGAGTTGGAATCGACTCTACAGCAATGGATTTATTGTCCCTTATGAAGCAGAAACAAGTCATCTAGTTAAATTGTTAAAAGTGCTAGCATAATGAGAGTGAAATGTTTCTAGTTTGTATGTAGTATTTCAAATGTTGCCTTGTTTTAGGGAAAGATTAGTCCAAAGGACTAATGGACCACAACTACCACCGCCTCCACCAGACTCCAGTACAACTAGATGGTGCCCAGCCACCACCACTGACTGCTCTGACAGGGATCACAATAGAGGGTCCTGGACAGAGCTGGAGAAAAATGTAGAACAAAATTCTAACTCACAAAACAAACAAACAAACAAACAAACAAAAAACAGACTTACTGGCCTGACAGAGACTGGAGAAACCCTGAAAGTATGACCCCCAGACACCCTTTTAGCTCTGTAATGAAGTCACTCCCGAGGTTCACCCTTCAGCCAAAGATTAGACAGCCCATAAAACAAAACGAGACTAATGGGGCAGAACAACCCAGGGACAAGAACTAGAAGGTAGGAGGGGACAGGAAAGCCTGGTAGTAGGGAACCCAAGGTTGAGAAGGGACAGTGTTGACATGTGTGGGGTTGTTAACCATTGTCGTAAAACAATATGTGTACTAACTGTTTAATGAGAAACTATTTGTTCTGTAAACTTTCATCTAAAGTACAATAAAAAGAAAATTAAAAAAAAAAGTTACCTTGTTTTCCCAATTTTTTTCCTACTTGGATGCTTGGATGGATATATATGCTACACACACACACACACACACACGCACACACACACGCACAGAATCAAAAAGCAATGTTTCCTGTTAATAGTTTGATACAGTATTTTTCCAGTTTAAAGCAGAAAAAAAAACAAAAAACAAATGCTTTATACTTTTGTGAGGAGAGGTAAATACTGTTAATCAGTTGAACCTACCAAGGAACATTCGAAGCTCAGCTTTCAAAGCCAGAAATGATCCTGAGAGATAATTTGAATTTTAGGAAGTAGTCATTATTGATGCAGGTCCACATACTGCAGAAGGTAGAAACTGCATTGAAATTTCTAAGTGACTTATACTTTATTTAAAAACAAAAGCCTTTTTTTGTTTGTTTTGAGAATGGTTCTGGCTATGTGTTTGATTTTTAAATTCTGGTCAGCTTTGTCTTGGGGTGAGTGTACTGCAGATGAAAAAAAATAAACTAACTGTGCTTTGTATTTCAATACTTTTGAAATTTCAGAGATGCTGCCTATGGAAGTTGCAATTTCTACATTACACTTCTTGACTGTTTTCATGCAGTGAAGAAGGTAGGTGACACATAGGATGCTGTCAGTGTTGTGCTGGAGAACTGAAGTGCAGTCCAGGGAAGGCTTGGCCTTCTTCCTCAAAGGTCTGCTTATTAGGATCTCTTCCAAGAAGTGTGTGATGTCACAGGGACCACATTTACCCCCAGTGTTAGAACTGTACTAAACCAGAAAACAGTTTATTCTGAGTGCTTCTCTGTGTGAGCTGAGGGGGAGGGGTGTGAAGGGGGCAGCAATTAAAAAACAGCAGGGAATAAGAGGCAGTTAAATGTAATTAGGTTCTGAATCCTGAGTTTGTTTTAAGCATGTTGTGACTTTAAATGAAAAACAAAAAGTAAAAAGATTGCTGGTTTTCAAGCTCTCTTTGATTTATGTGTTTTAGGTGTCTGATTCCCACAGATACTATTTACACAGACGTATTTATAACAAAAGTTAACTGTCAGACCGTTTTGTACCTTCGAGCTGTCACACAGTTTCTAGTTGGACAGAAGAGTTTGAAAAGCCCGTTGGTTTGTTACAAGGTTTTATTTACATCTATCGCTTTCTCAAAGCTGTTTTAAAATAACTACCTTATGTTATAACCTGCAAGGAGCTCTGGTGGCATCGTAGTTAAAGTGCTCCACTGTTAACCGAAAGGTTGGTGGTGTGAACCCACCAGCTTCTCCGCAAGAGAAAGATGTGGCAGTCGGTTCCCATGGGGCAGTTCTACACTGTACTGTAGGGCCGTTACGGGCTTGGTTTTGTGTTATAACTAGGGCTACTGTTTTGACTCCAGGGCAGCCCCTTCATGCCACATTCTAACTAAATGGGTCCCTTGGCAGTTTGTAATGTGGGCGGCCCTGGTTATAACATTCACTCTGTCAAGTATTATTGAATGTTGGGTTAGCACAAGAAATTAAAATTGTAAATCAGTAGCCAGTGGATCAAATAAGCCTTCCATAACATCTCAAGTTTTATGTGATTTTTTTTATAATTTCAGAGGCAAAAGGAGCTCAAGTTTATTTTCTTTTGTAATGAAACATGATGACTTTCTGAGAATTTTGACAGAAATTTTACCTTTAAATGAGAGGATTAATTAGTATATGAATTCAGAGACTAATTAGTATGCCTTTTTCCTGTATAAGGCAATGGGGTATGGGAACTTAATTTTTTTTATTTGAGTCCAGTGACTGTGAGGTAGTTCTCACAAGCCCCGAAGTACCTCAGTCAGGTCTCAGCTCAGGCAGGTACTGGACAAAGGTAAAAATCTAGAGGCAGGAGGGACAGCGTGTGTAAATGGCACCTTCCAGCTGAACCCCGGGGAACTGCTAATGTAGACACTTCTCATCCTAGGGCTCCTTCTCCCCACCCTCCCACCTTTCCAAAAAAGAAAAGAAAAACTGAGGGGCTTGGAAGTGGTCTACTGTGACCATTCCCATCAGTGTATAGCAGTTTCATTGTTATTTCTTGGTATGGCTTGTATCAGATTTTGCAGCTAAAGTCCAATTACCTAGTATTATAGGTCAAAGATTCCTTTTTCCGCCACACTATAATTAGCTTTATTCAAGGGTCAAAAGCTTCTGATTTTCAATTTCAGCATTTTTTATTTGTGACTGATTTTGAATGTTATTGCATATATGAAACATTTATGTAATTTTGTCTTAAATTTAGTTCTGTCTACCTCCAATAGGAGCTCCTTATGAAATTCAAAGGAAAATAGGCATTGCCTGTGAACTACATTTTACAGTATCATTCTGTTACAAATAGCTGTAGTCCAGATATCACGAAATATATTGAGTACTTCTGAATTCAAAGAAATGAAATTCATCATTGATTTGGTTTTAGAATTAGAGCTTAAATAATTACATTTTATAAAATTAGATTTTTTTTTTTGGTTGGTGTTCTGCCTTTCCTGTTTTATAGTCATATTTCAGTATTTTAAATTTTCAAAGTTGGATTTATAAGGTCACCCCTTTTGAACCAAGAATACCTTGTTGGCCAAGAATTCTTATTTATTTATTTAGGCCAAGAATTCTTGCTACAGACTGTTTAGCTCAGTGGTCAGATAGCAAGAACACTTCTCAGAGGCTACCAGCTCTCAGCTCATCCTTGTCTTAGAAAACAGAGGTTCTGCTTATTTCACTTAGTATGATTTGCCTTCCACAACTCACAGTGGGGCTAGAGGATAGAACAGAGAAGTTACTTTTTTTTTTTTTTTTAATGGAAAGAATTATTTTTTCCCTCAAAATTTTGAATTTTATTGTTAATGTCTCGGCTGTCTTTAATATAGGGAATGTTAATCTCTTAATTCAAGACTAACTTTTCAAAACAATTTAAAAGTGAGGATATTTATAAAGCCTGGGATTGTTTGGGAAAAACTTAGCACATGGTTTCTTTCCTCTTCATTATTCTTTGTTTAGAGAACATTGGGCTGTACATTGTATTTCAAGCCAAAATTTCTGAATCATATACCCATGAGTGATGTTGATCTAATTAGTAGGATTACTCAGAAGGTATGATTATTTAGTAATTGATGGATAGGATGATTGATTGAATGAAAATACAAAATCAAATTTTATTAAAATAAATATTATAACTAATTTTCCAGATAATGGAAGTTTTATAATATACAGCGCACTTCCTTTGAAACTATCCAATGAAAAGTCACCTAAATGTAATAATACTTTTCTTGGTTGCTTCATGATATTATTATGAAATTGGATCTGAAATTGTTTCCTTATTTGTATCTTTATTCTTAAAAGCTTTCCTTTGGATTTTAGGCAATGCAGTATGGCTTCCTTAATTTCAACTCATTTAACCTTGATGAATATGAATACTATGAAGTAAGTTTTCATGGATACTGTTTTTAACTCTTTTAGTTATCTATTTTACTTATAGAAGTAGTACCTTTTGTTTAAAAAAAATAAAATACTTTAAATGTATAAAGTAAAAAGTCAAGTTTTTACTCCCTTCGCCCCATCTCTCTGTTCCCAGTTCTTAGTGGGGATTTCTGTAGTTTGAGATATGTCTTAGTTATCTAGTGCTGCTATAACAAATACCACAAGTGGATGGTTTTAACAAAGAGAAATTTATTTTTTCACAGTTTAGGAGGCTAGAAGTCCAAATTCAGGGTGTCAGCTCTAGGGGAAGACTTTCTCTCTCTGTCTGTTGAAGGAAGGTCCTTGTCATCAATCTTCCCTGGTCCAGGAGCTTCTCAGCGCAGGGACCCTGGGTCCAAAGGACATGCTATTCTCCTGGCTCTTGTTTCTTGGTGGTATGAGGTCCCCCTCTCTGCTTGCTTCTCTCTTTCATATCTCAAAAGAAATTGCCTTAATATACAACCTAATCTTGTAGATTGAGTCCTGCCTCATTAACATAACTGCATTTAGTCTTGCCCCATTAACATCATAGAGGTAGGATTTCCAACACATAGTAAAATCACATCAGATGACAAAATGATGGACAGTCACACAGTAGTAGGAATCATGGACTACTCAAGTTGACACACATTTTTGGGGGACACAGTTCAGTCCATAACAGTGTATCTTTCCAGAGTGAATCAGTGTGCGCCTATGTAGTTTTCGTAACATTTAGTTTAAATGCTTTTTAGTATTGATGACTTTTTTTAATACAATGGTTAGATGAGATAATGTTTTAAACCTTTAGCATCAGGTCTGACAAAAGCTGGCTTAGTAAATAATCAGCATACATCTAATTATCTCTGGAAAATATTTCAGTTTTTATCATAATCTTTTGTTTATATTAGGTCAGGACATTGGTTGCAAGTCAAAGAGACTCTTAAAAAATGGCTTAAATTTAAAAAAGGGAAAATTTATTGGCTTACATAAATGAAAAGCCCAGGAAGCAGGTGTGACTTCAAGCATGACAGGATTCAGGTGCTCAAACACTCATCAGAAATTGGACTGGGCTAGCTTCGTTTTCAGGTCAGCTCTCTCCAGAAGTGACAAAGATGTCCACCAGCAATATTTAACAATTTGACAAACTCATCTCCAGCAGTGGACCTAGGAATGCCTCTCATTGACCTGGCTTAGATCACATGCCTGTCCCTGTACCAGTCTGGAACCAATCTGTACCAATACTCTGGCCAGACCTAGTTTTCTGGCCATCCTGGAAGCTGGGGTCCTGAGGTCAACTCTGCCAAACCATATAGACTAAAAAGAGGTGAAAGAGATTCCAGGCAGGCAAAACCGCAAGTATCTTCTACATTTAAAAATTTATTTTTTCTCCAAAAAATAGATTAATTTAATTGTACTATACTTACACCCCTCCAAATAATTAAATAACGAGTTAGATGCTATGATAAGGGTCTTTTTTAGCCAAGAATACTTGTAGTTCACTACATTCTCTTTAAGAAGCAATCTATTCTGTTGTAGTTATCTTGAGCCAGATGTTCTCTCTAATAGTGGAGGGGTAATCCCAGGGACAGCACTTCCTATAGCAGTATCTTGAATCTTCAGATAACTGTTCTTCCACAGTCAATTTCTAAAGTAACTGCTGTCTTAAACTAAGTTTAAGTGAACTATTTTGTTGCTGAGTTGGTGTAATAGTTATGAGCAATTGTTATTGTGGTGTACTAAAGATGTGAGGTCATATTATATGGTTCATTAGGACCAAACAAACCCTATCTTCAGTCCTCTGTAATACCAGTCTATTTCTGAAGTACAGTATGTATTTAACTGCCATCTTAAACTACTATTAACACTTTTGTGTGTGTGCTTGCCATTATTAAATTAAACATTTAAAATAAAATGTACTTTCTCTTTTTAGGTAAGCAAAACTACTAAAAACAAGTTTGTGTTTCTTCAGTATAGCACAATGATGCCTTTATTATGTCTTATTAAGGAGTAATATGGGCATTATTTCGCTCCTCTCATTACTGTAGAGATTAGGGGAGGGTGGCATGGTCTGTGTGCATGTGCATGCATGTATACACACACAGATGTCCTTTACCTTCAGTGAAACTTCACTGAGACACAGGCAACTGTTTAGGCCAGAAACCATAAACTGGTAGCCCACAGACCAGTTTTGTTTAATCTGTTCAGTGTATTTAGAAGCTTTGAATTAATATACTTCATTGATTCCATGATGCCCATTTTTTTCACATTTTACTTCTCTGAATTCAAGATACATCTTACAATCTATGATGTCTGCATTTTGATGAAATCTGATGGTTGCCAACATCCTGATCACAGGTTTCTCATTTAAAAATCTCTAGGTTTCTGGTTTTACTTTAAAATCAGAACATCTGGCAACACTTGTCCTCATTCCTTTTTGGACCTTTTAGCATGGAACATGGACCAACTAATTCCCCACAGTTGATAATTATGTCAAGTAAACTGATTTTGGATACCTGCCTGGCCCCTGTTCAAGCAACTCTTGGTTTATTTCTTACTCATTCTCACATACACATACACACACTCCACTTGCATAACTAATTTATCTTGTTTTTACTACTAGCTCTCTCCTTTTCCACTATCAAGGGTCTCCTACTTTTTGGCTTAAAAGTCTTTGTGAATTCATTGCATTATGAGATATATTTTTATTGTTAAATTTGAACTGTATTTATGTTATAATTGCACCAGTATCTCAATCCAAAGGACTTAATAACAGGAAGTAACATGTTTTAAACTTCAATTTATATTGTTGCTTTTTAATAGACATACTGTGATCTCAGTGTACTTGTAATTTTGAATTTCTTGGTATGCTTTGTGAGCATTTTTGATTGGCTTACTTATTAAATAGGTAGCAAAGTGATGGACAGATGTCTCTATTGGAAAGTAAGTGAGTAAATATTGAGAAGCCAGGAATCTAAATAGTGTTTCCTCTTCTGTGCAAGGAGTTAAGATTACTCATATTGGAAACCAGTTAATCATACAGGAAGATAGAGAAGTTCCCAGGTCCCTCACACTAGAAAAATCTATTTTAGTTGGTAGCAACTATAATGAGAATTTATTTAAATAAAATAACCAAAGTGCTTAGCATGGCAGCAGTCAGCTCTGTTTTCCAAAGGCTGACTACCTTAGCAAAGAAACACCGCTATAAGAAGGACCAAGGGAAGTCTGTTCCCTAGAAATTCTCATAGCAAGCTAGATTTTAGTTTATTGTCTCATGGTCATTTGTAAACAGCTTTTGTACTAAAGTAAATGGATGTAAGTCCTGCAGAGACTCAGTATTGGTTGGGGCGGGGAAAAGGAGATGAAATCTAAACATGAATTGTGCCGGTCTTCCCTTTGCAGAAAGCAGAAAATGGAGATTTAAATTGGATAATACCAGACCGATTCATTGCCTTCTGTGGACCTCATACAAGAACCAGACTTGAAAGTGGTATGACAAAACATGGAAATGTGGTACCAGTATGTTTCTGCCATTGAAAGTGTCCATTCCCTGCTTTCATTTGAAAGAGAACAAAGAGTTAAATTAAGCTTTAAGTCTTCATAATTTAAGTATACTTGGTCATTTGAGTACATCATTTTGTCTTGTTTTTAACTTTTTTTAATTCTGTTTTTTATTCTTAAAATCAAATTGGTATTCAATCCCCAGTCTAGATGCCGTTTCCACCCAATTACAGCTGAAACTTTTATCCGTTGTTTTCTTTCTTCATTTTACAAGATCTGGTGCATTTCTTTACATAGGTTACCACCAACATTCTCCCGAAGCTTATATTCCATATTTTAAGAATCACAGTGTTACTACCATTATTCGCCTGAATAAAAGGATGTATGATGCCAAACGCTTTACAGATGCTGGTTTCGATCACCATGATCTTTTTTTTGCGGATGGCAGCACCCCTACTGATGCTATTGTCAAAGAATTTCTGGATATTTGTGAAAATGCTGAGGGGGCCATTGCGGTGCATTGTAAAGGTACGTGTTTGGAATTGGTTCACAAATGGTATATGTGTATGTATATATGTATGGAAACACACCATACTTATTTAAATTATATGTCAGGACATATGAAGCTGCCTCTGTTTTAAAAACCCTAATTTCTTATGAAAAGAATAGTAATTTGAATAGTATTCATAGGCAACCCTACAAAGGCTTATTACATTGAAATGCATCCATTTATTCATCAGGTATCTTGTGTGTGCCTACAATATGGTAGGTTTTAGGGTGCATCAATAAGCAGAAAAGACTCCAAGTCCTTGTGTTTGTGGAGTTTGCAGCCTCTCTCAGGTTGCTCTGTTTACGGCAGCCAGAACAGTGCCTGACACTTAATGATGTTTGATGAATGAATGAAGGACTGTGTAAAATTATATTGTATGAATGTACCAGAATATATTTTGTCTTCCAACTCTTGTTAAGAAGAATCCAACATAGGTTATTTCATTATTGTTTATTAGAATAAGCAGTGACCTCCTGATTTACAGCTGACCTTCCAAATGCTGTCTTATTCATGACACAGTCCTATTCTGAAATATCCCAAATTAAAAACTTAGTTCTAAAGTGTCCAGTTGGCCTCTGTCATTTTACATTTTCTGTGGTTTCAAAATTATTTTATGTAATTTCTTGAGAAAAAAGAAAAGTATTGTGATTTTCTGTGTTCAGAGATTGCTTTGTACTTTGTGCTGTAGTTGGTGGTTTGTAATGATAATAATCTCTGATCTCTTTCCTCAAGGAATTTATGCAGATGGATGATAAATCTTACAATAAAAGTGTGAATGGAGTACTTTGGAACCTTGGTTCAGGAGTGATAAGTTGTACCTGAACAATCAGAATAGGTTTTACTGAAGTCTGTGGCTTTTTAGATAAACATTGAAGGAGTGTGATTTCAGTAAGCAGAGGATAGAGAAGAACATTCTAGGCTGAGGCAGTGAGGGATTAGGGTTTATTAGAAGTGAGTGGTTGCAGAAGGATTGCACTGGCGTGGATGTCCCTGATAACTGTATGAAGGCAGTTCTGAAGGGTAAAGGAATTTAGAATAGACAGGTGGTTCTCAGCCAGGGCGCTTTTGTCTCCCAGGGGACATTTGGCAATATCTGGAGACATTTTGGTCACAACCAGGTGGTGGGGTGCTACTTGCATCTAGTAGTTAGAGGCCACGGATGCTGCTAAACGTCCTACAATGTGCAGCCCCTGCAACAAAGAATAATCCAGCCAAAAATGTTGATAGTGCCACTGTTGAGAAACCCTGCAACAGACTGATGACCTGTTAAAAACATGAAAAGGATTTGACATGATTAAATCTTTGTTTTGGGAAGAAAACTAATGACAGTGAAGATTGAATTGTGGAGTGAAAAGTGAAAGGCATTAGGAAATAGTGATAATAGTTTATATGAGAAGAAAAGAGGACAGCAGCAATAAAGTAAAAAAAGTCCATGTAAAAGAGTTTATGAAAGTAGAGTTGAAAAGACTGTTGGATAAAAGAGTAAGTGTAAGATTTCAAGCCTGCATTTCTGGAAAGATGATGATACCATTAACAGAAAACCCAGGGCAGAAAACACTGCACTCTTTCAGAATCGTTGTCAGACCAGTTATTCTCAATCTTGGCTAAGTCACTTGGGGGATTTAAAAAAATCTCTGTGCCCAGGCTGTACCCCATACCAATTAAATCAGAATTCTGGAGGTGGGACCAGTGTTTTTTAAAACTCCCAGGTAATTCCAGTGCATAACCAAGCTTGAGAGACACTGTTGAGGGAAGCAGAGTCATGTGAAGCCTTTAAAAAAAATTCTTCCTGCCTGACAAAATTCTGTAGTACCTGAAACCAGCTCCCATTGATTTGTTTCTTAGCTGGCCTTGGGCGAACTGGCACTCTGATCGCCTGCTACATCATGAAGCATTACAGGATGTCAGCAGCTGAGACCATTGCTTGGATCAGAATCTGTCGACCTGGCTCAGTGATTGGACCACAGCAACAGTTTTTGGTGATGTAAGTAGACAGAGAGCTTTTGTAATTCCTCAGGGAACAGGTGGGTCTGGAAGTTGAATGGGATGAGAAATAGAAGTAGAATTTACTTCTGATGGGAAGTAAAATTTTTCTTAGTCTCCAGTAACAAGAGATAGTCTGGAAGCGGAAAGTTATTTACGTGTTTGTTTCTGAAAAGCTGTATTTTGATGTTATTTAAATGCTCTAGGAAAGAAGCAAGCCTCTGGCTGGAAGGTGACTATTTTCGTCAAAAGTTAAGAGGTCAAGAGAATGGAAAACACAGAGCAGCCATCTCAAAACTCCTCTTGAGTGTTGATGACATTTCAATAAATGGGGTCAAGAATCAGGACAAGCAAGAACCTGAACCGGTAATCGAACCATCCCCATCACGCTGTTGTAATTGCTTTAAATGCTGTTAAGAACCTTTTAGGGCATGGAAAAAATTGTAGGTAAAAAAAATAAAGCACATTTTTAGGGATTATTGTCACATATTCTTTTTTATATATATAGCCCTTTTTAGGAATATTTACTCCAAATTGTTAAAACAGGGTTGTGTGTCTATAAAACTAAAATGTTTTTTACTTACTAGGCACGGGTGGAAAGAAGAGGTATGTGAAGTAAGCTATTTAGGTGGACCTAGTTACACCCTACCCCAGCTTTTATTCCATTTCTTGGCAGCTCATTTAGGGAACCAATAGCTCTCAGATGGAGCACCCAGGGTTTAAGGGTTAGCAGTCCTAAATTAAGTGATGGTCAAGTGGATTGGGAAATTTTAAAAAGAATGTTTTCAAAATTGAAAACCCATTATGCCCCTTCAGTGTCAGTAGGCTGTGTAATGAGAGAGTGCTGTTGGGTTCTGTGTCTGTGAAAGTCAACTTTTAGATTTCTGGAAAGGTGACTTGTAGCTTTATTTTGAAAGGAGAAAACCATTTTAGGGTTCAGCAGAAACTTGAAGTGTATGTATATGTGGCTGTATATTTGGATAAAAGCTGCTATGCTTTACTGCATTAATAGGTGCAACTAAAATCATTAGCTCAGTATTTTTTTACTTACACAGTACAGTGATGACGACGAAATCAACGGAGTGACACAAGGTGACAGACTTCGGGCCCTGAAAAGCAGAAGACAATCAAAAGCAAACACTATTCCCCTCACGTGAGTCTGGTTTCCTTTGTGTGGTTGATGTTGTTTAATTTGTATATGAGGTCCTTCATGAGCTTTTTTCCTATACATTTTTCTCCATGGTAGCATACACATTATGCCACTTTGAAACAATTATCAGTGTTATTTAAAATCCAGGGGTACTTGCCTAAGAAGCTCTTGGCCATCCTTTGTTTATCTTCATTCTCTGTTACAACCTCATAAGCCTTTATAGATAGAAAAACAATATCGGGGATGCTTCTTCTCCACGGATAATCTATACATGTCACTCTCAAGAGAATGACAGTAAACATGAACCTCAGAATGACAGGTTTATCCATAGTTATCAAAATTTAAATTTCTTTAAATTCACTACCATAATTCAGATCATTTATTTTGTTATGATAGAATTTAGTCAGTTGTGACATGGTGTCTTAGTGGGTTATATTCTTTTGGAGGAACAATGAACTGAACTAAACACTATTTTTGTAGTATATTTTTGTTTGGGGAATTATTTTCAAATTATATAAGGAGGTTTAGCATGGGAATAGGAAATTTTATAGTTACTGAGTGTATATGTTCACTTGCACTTGCTTGTGTATGTATGCACATTAGTTTGGATTCAACCTCATGGAACATCAAGGATTGTTAGAAAAATAAGAAAACATGGATTATTATACTTCTTTTTGGGCTGTTCTCTAGTAGATGCTCCCACCTGTGCTGTTAGACTCCTTCCTAGGAACCTCTTTTTTCATTGTGAGGCACCAAATTTCTTTTCTTTTTCTTTTTTTGGTGATAGAGATGGAAAGTCATTGTATTCAGTAAACATGTTTTAATATGGTAAGGATCTAGTGGTATAATAAATGTTCATGGCAGAGGAGAATCAACGTTCTTTTTCATTAAGAATCCTTCCCTAGAATCTGCTTATGATCTGAAGTTCTAAAGTAGAATTATACATAAGGCACATGTCATCTGTCATGGGTGATTGCCCTGGAAAGTTCTTAAAATACCCAAAGAAGAGAATGAGAGTTTCCCAATATAAAGGGCCATATGAATGTAAGGCATCAGTAATGATTACATGCATTTATGAAGTGTTCCCTTTGCAGCTTAGTGATGCTTCAGTCAACAAGGATGCTTGAAGAATGACGCGTTTTGTATAATCTCATTTATTTAACTCCAGACTCCCTTTTGTTTTTAAAGTCTTAATGGTTCTTTTTGATCAGAAACATTATAGGGCTTCCAGATGATCATTCTGAAAATAATTTTAGACATTGATGGAGGAAATAGGTAGTACTCTAAAGCAGTGCTTCTCATGCTCCAGTGTACATTTGAGTTACCAGGGAAGCTTGTTAAAATGCAGATTATGATTCAGTGGTCCTGGAGTGTGTCCTAAGAATGTGCATTTTTAACAAGCTTCAAGTATCACTAATGCTGCTGGTCCAGGGACCACACTTTGAATTGCAACACCCTAGAAAATTGATGCTTGCTTTTGTAGGCTGTTTTCAGTTGTGTCCAGGGTTTTTAAGAATCTGTATCATCAGTTTATCTCTCAATAATTTGTTGCCTGCTGTCCAGAAGCCAAGTTGGGAATCAGGGTGAGAATTCTACTTAGTGAAAAGTTCTTGTTAGATAGGGCTTATAGGAAATTTCCTCTAGCCTTTCTCTGAGTCTGCTACTTTTGTGGATATGTTTTCCAAGGAGTTCAGGTCACTTTATACTTTTCTCTAGAAAAGTTGAGACTTTTCTTTTTGATAGCAGATAGGTTTGTAGTAATGTAAAAGAAAACAAATGACAAAAATTTAAATGTTATTGGAAGCAGAAGGTGACACTTAGATGCTATTCCATTCACTCAGGTATGTGAGGATCCTTAGGGTAAAAGTTGAATGCAGTCAGTAATGGCTGAATGAAAGCCAGGTCTTTTTAATGACTGCTCTTTATTTGGGTCCTGATGCTTCTCAGGCCCACCTTGGTCTGTGCTATGATTTGTTCAGTTATCTAGTTGACACCCCACCTTACCCATAAAAGGAACAAGGAATATTGGCCTCGTGCTCTGCAGCTCTCTTGATGTAAGTTAAAGCCAACTAAAAGGTAAAAGTTAAAAAAAAAAAAAAGAGGTAGCTCAGGATCCCCTTTTATTGCAAATTTTAATTGTAATCCTAAAACCAATAGCCCTAAAACTATCCCTCCCCCTCCATACACATCCACGTAGACCTTTACATGTAGGTAGGGGCCCAATTAATACTCACAGGCCATACTTTTAAAGAAAAAAGCAAAATGCTAAAGTTTTTCTAAGCCCTTCATTATGTGGAAAGACTCGGGGGGATTTTAGATTAGTCACAGCAAATTTCGCTTCCTTCTCCTTAACAACATTTTGCTTATTCCCTCTTTTACTATTGTAACCGTCTCTTGTTTGCTCTTATTTGTAGCTCTTTTGGCCCCAGAAGAGAGGTCAGTTGTAGATTTCCTTTCCCTACCAAGTCTTTGTTGTTATTTTAGAAATAAAAGCCTGCCCTGAGAGAGAGAGTGTTCAATACCAGCCTGGGTGGAGAAATCTAAATTCAATTCCTGCCTCCCAGTTTTGACTCATCTGTCGCTATAGACAAGTTATTTTTGCTTCTCTGTTGGTAGTCAGCCATATGAAAATACTTGCAAGAAGAAAAATTAGTGAGAAATATATAAGTACTGGTAATTCTTAAGAGAAAATAATAGTGCAAAAACTATCATTCCAGTTACTGGTTTCTCTTTTATAAGCAGTCAGCATTGGGGAAATTGTATAGTAGTTGTTTTCTCAGAGCGCCTGTGTGATCCTGACTACCATGAAGACAGTAAATCACATAGCACCGGGAGGGTGATCTAATCTTCGAGACGTGATGGCAAGTGTCTTGTCTGGGCTAGAATTGATTTGGTAGATTTCATTACTTCAGCCGTGCTGCCTGTCTTTCTGCATGTTGATCATTTTTGCTAGGTTTGTTAGAATTAAATTAAATGATACATGAAGAGTAGAGTTGCATCCTAATTGGGAATAAGGTGAAAATATAATCAGCCTCGAAAATTCATTAAATATCCCGAAGAAATGGGTGTGTGTTTCAGCATTGGAAAATAATTCTTGTGCCATGAGCTTGACGAGGGAACAAACAAAAATCTGTAACACAGACATCTGGGCATTCCGACCATTCTACCTTTAAGATAACTATTAAATGAGTTACTGCAAATGAAGGCTGGGATGGGTAGAGAGTTCTACAGTGTTCCTAGTTTCCTAGGACATTAATTCCATTTTAAAAATAATATTCAGTCCCTGTAATCTTAATACAAATTAGTAGATTTGTTTTTGGTAGGACAATGAAATAAAAGGAGAAAATAAATGAAATATAGGGTGAGGTTAGGTTTGGATTTCAAGTCTACCCTTTAATGTAATTCCTTTCCACCATATAGGGTATCTGTCCAAGCTTTCAATGATGACAATGACAAGGACAATGATAAAAATGGTATAGCAAGCCAAATTAGTCATTTCCAACTTGATCAGCCCAATACTTTGCACAACACAAGTGCTCAATAGAGCCTTTTGTGTTTTTGTCACAGATATGTACGGGTGGCCATTTGGAAGTGTAGTAGCTGGAAGGAGTTACCAGCCTTCCAAATATGAGGATTCTAACTCAGGCCAGTGGATTAAGAAGCATTAAGCTAAAAGCCAACCAGTATGTTCGTTTATAATTGTGCCTCCTGTGACGGCGTTATCAATCCAGAGTTTCATCTTTGTTTTTGCTTTTTCTCTGTGGTGTAGTTTAGTTTTCTCTGTGTGCACATCTTGTACCTTTTGAAGAATATCAATTAGGTAACTATGACTTTTATTTCAGTATCATAAAGTTAAATTAACATGAGCAGTTATTCAGCTAGAGTTTGGATCTGACCTTTACTTACTAAAGGTCAGACCAGTTCAAACTGAAGACCACTTTTTTTTCCAACATAAAATAGCAAAACTCCATCCTTGTTTCCTGCCCGTTTGCATCCCATTTGCTGTTCTGAGCCTTTAAGGTATCTAACATTCACATGTGGCTTATTTATTTATTATTTTATTATTATTATTATTTTGGCTTCCCAGTTTGAACGTCTGTTCTTTCCCCTCATCCCTTTCCAGATGTTCCCTAGCTGTGACCTCTGCACTATGTAGTGTTGTCATCTGGTGGATTGTTTGTGACTACATTCTTCCCATCCTGCTATTCTGTCTGGATGGTTTCAGAACACAGTAGCCCTCAGGACCTTTGAGAAATAGCTGCTGTGTAAGTGTCCCATTCCATTTCTTTACTATTGCTCGCTTCTGGTGTCCAGCGTGTTTCTCATGATGCATGTTTTTCTCCTTATCAGCTCTCCTTGCTTTGTTGGTTTGTCTTTTTCAAAAGTTCTGTTTCTGAATCTTTTCAACTGATAGAATGGTGGTGGGAGAGAGGGAGGGCTCAGTGTTCCTTCCATAGAAGGGATGTTAAAAACAACACAGTTTATTGTTTTTAAGTTGCACTTACTCTTACAGATAAATATTTGAAATAGTAATTTGTAAATGAAGACACTGAAATTTCTCTATTGAAAATATTTAGTTAATTTGGGTAGTTTTCTTTCTATCAATTGGTTCTACAACTTCCCTTTAGTTTTCTACATCTTGAGTATGTCCTCCACAGTCTAGAAAAAATAATTTCCCCACTGATTTTTTGCCTTTAGTAATGATTTGATTTTTTTGTAACCACGAAGCCCCATGAACATTTCATCCTCTATTTAACCTCTGGTTCCACCATCATGCACATCTCTCTCTCACAGCAGGCAGCTGGGATAGTCAGTGTGCTTCTTACCCCCTCCCTCTCTTCCCTTTTCCCAAAAATAACCAAAAATGCCTTTACTAGGTTAATGTAGGCAGAATTTGTATTCTCTTGAGATCTTCATCCTTGAAATGAATACCTTAGCACTGGAGATACTTCTTTTCTGCACAAGAAAGTAGCAAGCAGCTTTCCTGCAGAACATTCTAGTAAAGACCAAGAGCGAAGAAAGGAGGGTGTATCCTGTGAAACCTAGGTTTTACCACTGGCCTCTGATTCTCAGCCAGCCTGTAATTTCTCTGAAACTTCTTCTCTAGCTCATATTTCAAGAATTTCTTTATTTGTCCCAAATTGGACTTGGAAGTTATAAAAGAACATAAAAATTTCCTTCTAGGATCTCTTCCAAAGTCAAATTCCATTGCAACCAACCCTGTGGTTTCATTGAGCATCTTAAATGGCTAGAAAAGATTTAAAAATCAAGCAGACTCCACTCTTCAAAATTAAAGAAAACTTGCTTAACATGGTCTTTTTCTTGAATCTCTTATTTAATGCAAGCATATGCAGATATGCTGTATTTCTGATATAGATGATCCTTTTGTTTTTTTCTTCGCTTCTCTTAGCTTAGATTTCCACATATTCTGACTTGAGAGATCACAAACTGCATAGACTTATTTTTCTCCCAACTATTCCAAGAGGTGGGAAGGAGCCCTGGTGGTGCAGTGGTTAAGGCGCTCGGCTGCTAACTGAAAAGTCAGTGGTTAGAACATCAGCCGCTCTGCAGGAGAAAGATGTGGCAGTCTGCTTCCATAAAGATTACAGCCTTTGAAACCCTGTGGGGCAGTTCTACTCTGTCCTATAGAGGCCCTATGAGTTGGACTCCACTCGACGGCAGTGGGTTTATTCCAAGAGGTAAAGGTGGATGGTACAGAGTTCTGTATGGGTGGAGTTGATGCTGGTAACACTTAGGCACTTTGTGGTTGTATTCTTTTTCCCAGGGTAAGTTTAAAAATGATCTCTATCAGGTGGCTCTTTTCTCTTTAATATCCTATGTAAGCTGTAACCTTGTTTGTTGTTATGAATGATGTTTGCCATTGCATTTCAAGACCTAAAGCAGAGTATCCAACTTAACTACCTAATTAATTTGGAGTTTGGGGAAGCAAAAAGCTGTCTACAGTAACAGTGGAATAAACAAGTATAATCCTTGTAGTTTTCTTCCATCCTCTCCTCCATTGCTCTCTTTCAAAAGGACTTTATTTTGCAAGACGATCACTCTCATGCACTATTCTCACTCACCTCTATTGGCAAATGACATAGTGTTGCCTGATAGGCTGTTACTATTGAAAAGCACCTGTTATCTGGCATGCCTGGACAGTTAGATCATAATACTTCAAATTGCTCTGTCTGACTCACTTAGGTAGTGGGAAAGGGGCCTCTGGAAGTTGCAAGGCCCTTGGTCCATCGTTTTGAAAGCCCTTTTTGTATCAGTGGTAGACAACCAGTGTAAATAGTATGTAGTTGCACTGTTGGTATCTTTTCTTAGAAATTAGATGTTCATGTTCAGAGCATTTTGTAGCCTTTATAGGCAAGAGACTTGGCCTTTTAGTTTTTTGCTTTGCTGTTTGCTTCAGGTTTCAGATATCACTGTCCAAGACCTGAGGCTCAAAAGATACTGCAGAGAAGAAAGTGAACTGCAGAATAGGCAAAAAATAAGTAGGACTGAGGATTTTGTCAGGGAACAATAGAAAGGAGAAAATTCATGATGACATAATGCTGAATATTGCTCTGAAAAAGCTGTGTGGTTGGGCTGGTTTGGAAGGTGAAAGGTAGTACCCACGTATGCTTATGGTATAGTGAATACTTTACGAGATTGTTAAATATTTGCCAGATTATCCCACTTTATCATGTGCTACTTGTAGGGTATCATGAGATATCTAAGTATAGTTGCTTCCCTCCCCCTGACCCCCCTTTATTGATGCATAGCTTACAGACGTAGTAACTGCTGTTTTGTTAATACAAATAAATAACCAATGACTGGAATCCTAACTGGTATAATTAATTCACTCTAAACTTTTATCATTTTCTTAGTTTCAAAGTTCCACATTATTTGCTATCAATATTATTACTCTAGTATTTCGCATTGATTTTTTGCATTAATTTTATAGAGAAATAAATTCTTTTTAAAAGAAGTTTCCTATCAGCCTCAACTTTGGTTTAACAGTAATTTCTTGTTGTTTTGAATAGTGTTTAAACATTTTGATAATGGTTAATTTGAGAAATCAGGTCTCAAATTTCCTGAGCAGGCAATGTATTGGCTCTTGTTTTTTCACATATTAATAATGATTTTACATTGTGGTAGCACAGTGGTTAAGAGCTCAGCTGCAAACTGAAAGGTTGGCAGTTCAAACTTACCCGGCAGCTCCATGGGAGAAAGAGCTGCTGATCTGCTCCCATAAAGATTACAGCCTAGGAGACCCTAGGTGCAGGTCTACTCCATCACATGGGGTCGCTTTGAGTCGAAAATTGACTCAACGGCACCTGACAACAAAAAAGTTGTCTGTACGTTAGCCACAAGTAGCCTCATATTTTTTGAAAAGTAGGTACAGTATTTCAGAAAAAGCCAACAGGAGTCTCAACTTCTCCATTTGTGAGAATGGAGAGAAAAACCATGAGCCTTGCTGAGCGGGTGGGTGGGATTCTGGAGAGCGGTGGCGCACCTGGCTGAGGCTTCAGAAATAGCAGTTTGTTTTTGTTGTTTTGTTATTCTTTTTGCTAAATCCTAGATTCAAATTCTTAAGAGACCACTAAATATTTCCCCCTCACTTTATATAATCAGGAAGATTTTTTTAAAATAAATCCTTGTTTTAAGGGGTGGAATTTACAAACCAGGGCATTGGTCTTTGATCCTACAACAGTGTCTGCATAGACTTTTTCTGTCTTGTTGGAACATTTGGCATTGGGATGATAAAACTTAATGAGAAATCTTGATTCAAGCATGGGCTAATTTATTCTGCGATAGTTTCCCTCAGTGAGACTGCTAGCTGGTTTCAAAAATTTGATAGAGTATTTCATGGTATTTGATCCAAGAACTTGTTTTGCATCTCCACTTAGTTCAGAACATATCTTCCTTCTGGTTACTTCCTTCCTGTTTGGAAAAGCTACAGATTAAATTATGTGATTTTTCTGCTGAGCTCTGCTAAGGCTCTGGCAGGATCAGGGCTTTTTTTCCCCCTTTCAGACTATTTTTTTAAATTAAATTTTAGATCAGGGAAAGCTCCCACCTCCTGCCCCCCCACCCCCCACCACTGACCCCCACCTTTTTAAAACAAAATCATACCTGGATAAGGAGTCCTTGGATGATGTGAAGGGGTTAACACTCTCAGCTGCTAACCGAAAGGTTGACAGTTTAGTCCACCCAGAGGTGGCTTGGAAAAAAGGCATGGCAAAAAATTTTTTTTTTAAATTAGCCATTGGAAACCATATGGAACACAGTTCTACTCTGACACATGTGGGATTACCAAGAGTCGGAGTTGACTCAACAGCAGCTAGTTTGGTTTTCTTTTACATAAATAAAGCAAAATAGCTGGGGTAGCAGCCCCTCATTCACACTGCCCCCCTTAGTCCTCTTCCTCTTTCTTCCCCAAACACTTTAAAACAACTGGCATAGACAAGCTCCAGACTTATGTTCCTGGTGTAGCAAAACCCATTTCTTTTTTTTTAGTGATGAAATGTTAGCATTTTACCAAAAGTTGAAAATGCTGTGGTTTGGTAATACTAAGATTGTAATGCTAATCTGTACTGCATTTTAAGGACCTGGTTTAGATTATTAACATGGTGATAAATAAAGCAGAGAGGTAGGAGTGCTAGTTAATTGTAATGGCTGCTTTTTACTCTTATGAACTAGTTTCTTGTAAGTTGTAATTGGCTATCCCAGCTTTGTGCTTAGATCTGACAGGAGGAAGTTTTTTAAGTCAATGTTTTTCTCTTTTCACATAAATAAAAGTTGAGTATATATAAATGTGGGTGTATTCATTTCAGTTTTCCACTGGTTATCTCTAGTAGAGAAGAATTGCATATAAAATCATTGATGCTTTCTGTTGTTTTTCCTACGATGATTTAATGGGGAAAAAAAAACCCTACTTACGAACTATTCTAATGGATTTTATCTGAGTGTCCTTTCTGATTTATGAGTTTGCTTCCTGAGCTCCTGCAGACATCAGTTCCTTAAGATTTTTTTAGTTTAATTAAGGCAGCTTTCACAGAATTTAAACGGTTTCACTTTTATTTTAATGGTTTACTTGAAGATTTAGTAAGTAATTGATGTAACATCCAGGAAAAGTTCAAATTTTATTTGAACATATTTCTGAATGTCATACAGTTATTGACTTAGTGTTTATCGCCCATACTTTCATCTCTAAAGAGTGAACATTATCTTGTGTAGCTATTTAGTAACTTTATATTCATGTTTTTTATAATTTTGGGTATTTTAATGATTTCTTGTTTTCATGACTCAAAATCTGAGAATTTACTTTTACTGCTGGGCACAAAGATTTGTTTTACTGATTGATTTCTATGGCATGGGAATTCCTTAAAATGCCAGGTCATTTGTTTTCCAAAAGCAAAGTACTGTGGTTATCTTTGTGTAACCTTCATAGGGAAATGAGATGCATTCTAAACAGCTTTGATGTAAAAATGTTTCAGTTTTTTGTTTTTTTGTTTTTTTGTTTTTTTGGTTTTTTTTTTTGGCAAATGTTGTTTAAGGAAAGTCCTGTCAATTCTCAATAAAAATAATTTGCACTAAAGTGCAAAAATGCCTTCCTCTCTCAGGTATATGAAAACTGTTTCAGTGAACATAATCTTATTTTTTTCCAACTATTTCCAGAGTAATTCTTCAGTCCAGTGTTCAGAGCTGTAAAACATCTGAACCTAACATTTCTGGCAGTGCAGGCATTACTAAAAGAACCACCAGATCTGCTTCAAGAAAAAGCAGTTTTAAAAGGTGAGAAAAGAATTCTACTCTTCTGAAAAGTTCCAAGCATTGGTTTTCCCGCTTCATCTTTTGAACCCTACTTCTGGAGATAGAATGAAGATAGGAGGAAATAGAGTTCCTGTGATGGGAAATTAATCAAATGTGTTTTACTTGTTCATCAGCTAAAAAATCTGAATCTGTAATGTAGGTGTTTTGTTTTATTTTTTTCAGAGGTAATTCTCAAATCTGGAAGCATGGGAAAGTTGAGAATGTTGTACTACAAGTTCTTAAATTAACAATTTCCAAAGCTCTCTGTCAGGATTTGGAGGAAATCTTGCTATCTTTATAGCAGATACAGCAGAATTGTTGGAGAATTTGCTGCAAATAAGTATGACAGTGGAAATATGATAACCCCAGTGAATTTTGGGATTCTTCTTTACTTAATGACTGTTTGTCCTATTGGCCACAGTCCACACACAAGAGTGCTAATTCTTTTAGCCCAGCGTCCTTCACTTCCTTCAAGAAGTTTTCTTTGACAAGAAAACAGACCATGGTGTACGACGCAGTTAGTCACTATTGTCTTTAGATATTTATCATGAACTGAAGGCAGTCATTTCATTTCTAAGGTATTCTAAACACAGATCCCTTCTGAGGTAAGAGTAGATCATCCACTTACTGTTATCTCAAGAGTGAAAGATGGGTAACCTTTTTATATTTTGTGTGATCTTTACCTGCTTTTGGCAACTTTTGGAGTCCTGTGTCTTGGTAAAAGGTATCTCCTATAGTAGTGACTACAAGAGGCTTGAGGATAATTAGAACCAGAACTTTAAAATGTTGTCTTCTTTCCTTTTAACTTCCCTGCCCACATATCTTGGAGGCTTTGGGCCCACAGTATGTTATTTTCAGTGTTGAATGTGTTTCTAGTGCAGTCCCACGAGTAGGCCACACAGTTGGAGTCCTGAGAAGACTCACTGACAAACTTGATATTGCTGAGTCTTTTGTGTTTTTTGATGAATTGGTTGTTTAGTTCTGTCATTTCTCCTCTTTTTTTTTGCTAATTCTTTTACACAATTATACTACATATTTATAGTCACTTGAGAATGTGATAGTGCCCCAGTACCATAAGTATTGGAGAATTGGGCACTGACTCATGATTGTAGGATTTAAAATTTTTCATTAGAAATGTATCAAACAGAGGTGGGGCCAAGATGGCGGAGTAGTCAGACGTTTCCAGTAGACCCTCTTACAACAAAGACCCAAAGAAACAAGTGATTTGATTATATATGGCAATCTGGGGGCCCTGAACATCAAAGAGAGAGTTGAGGAACCGGACTGAGTGGCAGGGGGAGGGAGAGACGGTTCGGAAGCAGCGAGGAGTTGCCAGACGTGACCTGGCAAGAGCCTGAGCCCTTCAGGCCTGAGCAGCTTATGGGTGAGCGGTGAGGCAGGCAAGCAGCGGTGCTCAGGAGGCGCGTTTTTCACGCCAGGAGAGACCCAGTGCCAGAAAGTTTACACGGCCACCCAGAACCAGTGAGAAGCAGCCTCATCAGCGAAAGATAAATAATTGCATATGGCTTACTGCACGGATCAAAAACACCCTTCTTAGGGAAAATCCTCTCTCCAATTTACCTCCCCACTCCCTGCTCTGCACTGGGTCCTGGACTGGCTTCAGCGATTGCTGAGTACGCTGGGCCAGAAGTAGGATCTGTCACACAGCCAGAGCCATTCTCCTTGCCTTGGAGAGTGAACAAATTAACAAAGGAAAAAATAAACTGCTGGCTCCCCTAAGCCAGGAACCCAGGGTAGGCACAGTTCCTTTGCCTACGCACAGGCATAAGGGATCCGCGGAATTTGAGTGCCTTTCCCCCTGCATAGACTTGTGTGGGCCCATTTGAACAGCGTAGGACCTCATTAACGCAGTACAACAGGGTATATACCAGAACTCTAACTTCATCTGTTTCAGCTGTGAAGTAGAAGGTTCTTGACATTTGACACTGCTCTGCCCATTAAGCAGGGTCTTCACAAACCCACATCAGGGGCCTGAGGACTGGTGGCTCCACCCACGCCACTTAGCCACCTGTGATAAGGGCCCATGAATCAGAGGTGACCTCCAGTCCTTACAGCCAACAGCATTAGGTGCTCATAGACTGGCTGCAAAACCCACACACATACACGCTCTAGGGAACAGGGACACGCCTTCCTCACGGACATTTGGGGGCAGCCGTCAGCCCCCTGCCTTGCTCAGAGTGTGTGCCCCTCCTGCAGCCAGATGCCTGTGCCTACACCAATCACCCATGCGTGTCTAGGACTGTAAGTGAAGAGCCTATACCACACACTTGGTGGCTATAAAGCTGGGTACCTGAGCTGAATCCATACAGGAGGAATGGGCAGACTCCTGAGCTCACATACCTAGTAACAGATCTAACCACCTGGTGGCAGGACATTAGAGCTTCAAAGGTGCCAGTAACCAAACTAGCTCATACGAGCAGCCTATTTGGGCATATCAAAATGAAGCAAGAAGCTAGGACACAGTAATTAAGCAAACATAAAATAAATAAATAACTTATTGATGGCTCGGAGACAACAGTCAATATCAAATCACATAAAGAGGCAATCCATGATGGCTTCAGCAAGCTCCCAAAATAAAGAATCTAGAAACTTTCCAGAGGAGGAAAATTTCTTGCAATTACCGGAGACAGAATACAAAACATTAATATACAGAAATCTTCAAGAAATTAGGAAGGAAATTAAGCAAAACACAGAACACGCAATAGAGGAAATTAAAAAGATTAGAGAAGAGCATAACGACAGATTTAACAGGCTGCAAGAATCCATAGAGAG